AATGCAAGTGTGCATTTTCCCACACTTTGACCTATATGCATTCTTCGCTCGATGATTAAAATGTATTTGTGCACACACTTTTTAAAAGTACGCATCTTTAATGTGTATTTTATCTTGAACACATTTTCTTTAGCTCTTGAATTTCATTGCAAGCCTGCAAGTATATGGACTTTAACTGAAGATTGCATCTGAATTTGTGTTTGATCCAGAAAGTGGAAACTGGGTAAATCCTGATCAAAATCAGAAACAAATTTCTCACCTATCCTTAGTTAGGGAGGCTTTGCATGTGAGGACAGGTAGCCATTCCAGTCGCTGAGCATATTCTTTGCATGTGCAAAATCCCATATGCAGTTGCTGACACCTCTAGGAATTAGTCTGATCCAGTGTAAAAACCACTTTCCTGCTAAGATTAGATAGACTTGTAATATGAAAATTACAATTTACCACCTCTGCTATGCTAAATTAGGGTTGTTATCTGATTAAAGCATTTCTCGTTGACTAATCATCTGTTTTTTATCTATTTCAGCAATTAACTGGATTAAATTTAAATTACCTTGCCTGGTATTAAAAGCTTGGTGCAGAGTCCCTTTTGAAAGATCGAAATTTTGCCAAATTAACATAGGAAATTAACTCACCAAAGTTCAGAACTTCTAAGTCCTACTGATTTCAGTGGGAGAGTTTGGCTTTCACCCATTTAATTTGACAGAATCTAAAAGTGCTAGACTTTGTGTGGATTATTGCAGCTGCTCCTGTTGCTACGCCCACTGGCTTAGAACAATTTAAGCAAAACAAAAATGTGCATGTAAACTAAGGTTGAAATGCTCTATTTCTTTGCTTGCAGCATGCCATTCAATCTTTTGGTTGTGCATTAGGCTTGTGCAACTGATTGTGCAAGCCTAATGCACGATCAGTTGTGCCATCATGCTTGCACATCTGTAACTTTCTCCTCTTGCACACAGTTCAGAGCCCAGTTTTTGCTCATGGAATGTTACTTGCCCTTGTGGAATGACACAGCTGGAAATGGACCTCAAATTGTGTATCATTATGTGCCAATGTCATGGACGTTTTGTAAGTCTGTTGGGTCAGGAGATGGCAGGGTCATAGGAGACTGTCATGTTACATCTGCCATGTCAGTCAATGCCGAGGCAGCTGTTGCCTCTCACTATGATTCTGATGTCCCTTCAGCGCTAAGATTCCATCTTGTAACCAGATCTGTCTGACACAGGGTGACCAGTCCCAGGCAAGCCTGGATCAAGAAGGAATTGGAGTAATGAAGCTGACTGTAAGAGCTCTCTTGACATCATATTGCTGTGTTGATTATAATATCACTACCGCAAGCAGAATTGCATTTCTCATCTCAGATATCAGATATAAATTGATTATGGTCCCTGTTCTGTGGTCCTCATTACAGTGGGATACCGAGCCCACTCAGTGAGACTTTGCTCCATAGATGATGGGGTGCCAAGGCCTTACGTTTTGAGAACTCTCTCTGGGACTATTCCTTGGCCCACTTAATATCTATTCATCCATAGTTTATTGGGCGACAATCACTGCATTACCTCACAGATGCTCAGACACTGATTCACAAGTCGGTAGACTGCCTTACCGTTGATAGGGCAGCAACTCTGGGTGAGCTGACCACAAGTTTGTTTGTGATTCCTTCCTCTGGATGCTGCAGCAGCACTTTTGAGCTGTAACTGCTCATACCGCAGCTGTTGACTTTGAGCTGTATGGATCTCTTCATCCAGTTCCAGAAGCGCATATAATGTGACCCCCTGTGCTGCTTAGCTCACAGCCTGAAGAACCCATCATTACAGATACTCTAGGGACCCATTCACCTAAAATCTACTATCTGCTGCGGATATGTGAATTCTGATTTAATGCTTTGCAGAACTATCCATCCCCCTTCGATATTTCCAAGTTTTATTCTGTCACTTGTTACCTCTAGATATACATAAGATGCTCAGTCTGTGAAGGTGCAAAATATTTGTATGTGTATTGCTTTATTTATTTATTTATTAAATTTATATCCCGCCATTTTTCCTTTAAAGGAACTCAAGATGGTTTACATAATTCTTCTCTTTCTCTCAATCGTATCCTCACACCCTGTGAGGTAGGTTCGGCTAAGAGTCCGAGACTGGCCAAAGTCTCCCAGTGAGCTCCATAGCTGAGTGGGGACTAGAGCCCAGATCTCCTAAGTCTCACTCTTAACCACCACACTGACTCAGATGTCACATACATACCATAAGTAGTTGAATGGAGTCCATTTGGGTATGATTCCCAGTACCACATAATCTCTGGAAATATACCTGTTTCCAGAAGGCCTTAGAATTTAAACAAACAGCATCACAAAGACCAAGGAGCTATCAAAACAATTATGGGATAAATTCCTGATTTTATGGGCAGTTGAAAGTTTCTATCCTAACTAATCCTTTATTCCCTTGCTTCATTCACTTGAAGAGTAAGATGGTGCCCTGAAGGGAATTTTAGAAAAAGTCTGAGCATCTAAAGCACATTTTCAGAAATATGGCTGTAAGAAAGTATTTCATTTAAATTGTAGCATAATATCATTTAGAGGTACAAGGAATAGCACATTTGGAATGTTTAGTCAACCTGTGTAAAAGCATTTCTTACAATTTAATTCAATTCCAGGAGGTTTCCCAGGAAAGGATAATTTGCACATAGGAGAAATATAATTTCATTATGCACATAAAACAAAACAAAGTTTGATCAATCTAACTTACAGATCAATACAATATCAGCTTTAAAGATTTTACTTCTTGAAATAGTAAATTTCCCACCTGGCATTAGAGTGAGGATGAGACACCCTCAAAGTTGCTAGCTTTTATCATTGCATGATACTTGTGGGAGTTTTGCTATTCTTATTTTTAGAATAACATCTTTCTAGATAGCCAAATGGCAAAGGAATTGCATTGACCTATAAGCCTTGCAATTGTCCACTCGTTAGTGTGACTAGCTAATTTTCCTGGAAAACATATGTGTTTAGCTCAAGGATGACTCCAGGCTTTGGCAGAGATGAGCAATTTCTTAGGCCCAGGTTGTCAGGAGATTCTGAAGCTGGACCTGGGAACCTTCCGTTCTTCTGTGTGGTTTCTGTGCATCACACATACGGGTGCTGCACCTGCACGGCCTCCCTTTAGGAAGATTCTCCTTGCTATGCCTGGACTTTTGGCAGGAACCCCTCATTTCCCCGGCATAAATAGGCAGGGCTCACACCATTTTCCCAGTTTGCTTTCATCTGCCAGTTTGAGTGCCTTGGGAACCTTCGGTTCTGTGTATGAACTTTGGAAACTGCAGCTTGGAACACTTTCCTGGCATGGAAGTATTAAGCGCTGGACTGGCCATTGGGTCATCTTGGGTAGGAAGAAGAGCTTTGTGTGGGCTGCTGACCTTTCTTGAGCACAGGAACTGGTTGGTCCTTGAGTTCCATAACGTGGCGCACCTCTGAGCTGCTGTGGTATGCTGTACAACTGTGCAGGCCGTTGCATCTCACAGGCAAACTGACGTGGTGGGGAGGTTCTTGTCAGTGCAAGGATGTTGTCAGTGATGGAGTCATGCATGGCAACACCGCCTTCTGTTTTTGATGCTAAGAAAAGAACTTTTTTTCTTTACTTGCATAGATTACATTGCAGAAAGTTTAGTCACTATTAAATATTTGTTGTTGTTTTACAAAACCTTATTTTCATCTAGCAATAAGACGAGGAAGAAGTGTGTGGGGTGGGAGGAGGAAATGAGCAGCCCCAGTGGATCAGATCAAGGCCTGTCGAGTCCCATGTCGTGTTCCCATAGTGGCCAGTCAGATGCCTTTTGGAAGCTCGTGGGGCAGGGATGCTGTTGCACCTTCCTCTTCATGTCCCTCAGCAGCTGGTATCGAGAGAACTGGCAATATGGGAGGGAATGCATAGTCCTCAGGGGCAGTAGCCACGCATAGCTTTATCCTCCATGAATATGTTGCTCCTCTTTTAAGGCTGTCCAGATGGTTGGCTGTAGTGAATTCCAGTTTTACCTTGTGCTGTGTGAGCATCTACTTCCTTTCCTGTTCTGAATCTCCCTTCAGCTTCTAGGGTTATCTGAAAGGTGGGACCTTGCCCTGCCCGTCCCATTCATACTCATGTACACCTCTGATGTGTACTCCTGCACTCACTCTTTTTCTGTGTAAAAGGCCTCAGATGTGAGCACCTTTCTTCGTAGGGAAGTTACTGTAGGGCAGGGGTCCTCAAACTTTTTCAGCAGGGGGCCAGTTGAAAGGTGCTGGCGGTGGGCACGGGCTGCCAAGGGTGTGCGGGCGGGAGGGGCGCAGGCCGGTGAGGGGGTGGGGCACGTGCGTGCAGCGCAGCAGGGGCGCACTGGGCGAGGCAGCAACTTGCTAACATGGAGATGGTTTTCTCCGAGCGAGTCCAAAACAATCTCCGCACAAGCAAGCCACGTGTCCGTGCGTGCCAAGTGCAAAACCTCTTGTGCGGGCCGGTTAAATGGGCATGGCAGGCCAGATCCGACCCACGGGCCGTAGTTTGAGGACCCATGCTGTAGGGCATTGGTAGTTTTGCTACCCTTTGCTTTACCCCATAGCTCAAAGGAGAAGACTGCGTTGCCCTTACAACCTGTCTGATTTCCATCCAGCTGTAGATGGTGCCCATATTTATTTATGGATGTCTAAATATCAGCTGGGCGCAGCATCTCCTAACAAACTGTTTGGCCTTCCATATCTAGTGATTTGACTGGGAATTGAGACTTTGAAGATCTAGGAATTCATTTTCTTCTGATCTGACAACCAATGTTAAATATTATTTCAACTGAATCTGTTTTTTGTCTAATGCATGGGACTACTAAATCTGTATGGGATGGCACATTTATGCTGAATATATCAACATGTTTATGCCATGTACTCTAGGCTTGAAAAATTATGGATTTCTTTTCAGAATTCCTAATCCATAGGATTTTCTCTTTGCTCTCCTCCTCATCCTCCTCTTACATACAAGGTTTTTAACACTCATTGGAGGATGTCCCAGTGATATAGGAAAGCCAGAGATGCAGCAAAAAGTGAATACAATAATTGAAAGAGAAGGGATAGAAGGAATGGCAAGAAGACTGAATACAACAGCACAAACATTGCAGATAATAATCGATGGATTGACTCAACCTGAAGGTTTTGACATCCGGAAAGGTAAGCAGTTAGAAACGGTATGTTCCAATATCCGCGATTCACCATTTTCTCTATTTTCTATTCATTAAGCCAATGTCATTTTTAGGTGGATGGATAGGTCAACTCCCTTAAGTTGTTTATGGGAAGAAAGTATTGCATTACTCTGTGGACTGGGCAGCCAGGGTTAGTTTTCTAATTAAGAAATTTGAATCCTGTCTCTAAATTATGGCCCTTTAGAGCCATAGGAGGACAGTCTGTATAGATCTTGACAAATTAGGTATGTTTCCACACTGGTTAAGTTTGTGATCCTTAACCTACTTGGATTAGCTCAACTGGCTCAGGTTCTTTGAAGACAGGCTGTAAATCGTTGTCTTTTCCCCCTACTTGAATAGTGCAGAAAGTGTGACACTGAGGCACAAATGATTGGTGTTCTTGTTCACAGCTGCACAGTTCTCTTTCTGTGGGCTGCAGGTTTTCTGAGGGTCAGATGAACTGGAACACCATCCTCTATGCATAGGTATTTTTGTGGCAGAGTAAATCTGGTTTATTTAAAATACTTCTATGCACCCTTCTCTAAAACATCCAGAGTGCTTAACAAGTAGGATACATGCAGTCATGCACAAATCCAATAATAAAGTTCATAACTTTAGTTATTTAACTAACAATTTAAATAACTATATTGTCAACAGTGAGGAATCAATAGTTACGCGCATAACAGAATGCTGCTTCAAATCTGTTTCAGCCAATTGATCATATCAAGTCTATAGCTGTATATTTTAAGTCCTTGGGATAATTTTTTTTCTGGTCCACTATACCTTAGTAATTGCTGGACTTCACCTCTAAACTGTTCTAATAGTAAAAGCAAATCCTTATAAACCCACCCTGAATGTGAAAACAGTTTTTACAAACTCCAGTGACCTGAAACATTTTTACAACACCATCACAATGCCCAAGAACAAATGCATTCATTCCTGTTATGAGCATTGTTGATAATATAGTTGTGCACTGTATTATGTAGCTTTGCAGTTGTTGAATATTGTCCTAGCTGTGTAGTATTCTACGCACTGCGTAGTGTTCTAACTCTGGGTAACAAGAACTGTTTTTAACCTTTCAGTGTAGAAGATAGGAAATGATGTGTAAGATGGGTGAATTTCTGGTCCATGTCATGTTCGCATTCGTGCCATGCTGCGTCTGTATTACATAATCATTAATATTTTTCATTCTGTGTGAATAGTCACATTTAAATGTATGTGTCTAAATGTATTTTCTGTCTAAAATACATTTAGACACACATTTCATAATGTATTATGTCTCAAAATGCACATCTTTATTTTGTTGCTTTAAAAATGTATTATGTCTCAAAATGCACATCTTTATTTTGTGGCTTTAAGGTGGAGCGTTTGGGAAGCTTGAAAACTAATTTGTGACTGAATTCCAATCCAGTCATTCATCCAGAAACTACAGGTCAAGTCCATTTGTTTCAGAATGCACAAATATCACATTTCCCAAACATACTTAGTGATGTGACATTGGCTGAGTTTAAAGGACACACAGAGAATTGGAAATAAAGTTGACGAGAGGGTACAATGCTTCAGACCATCCTATTGATTTAATAGCTTTGAAACAAGGAGACTTGTTTTTCCCAGAGTGGTGCTCAACTGCAGTATGTGTTACGAGCACAACTGGGGCAACCTGGTCCTCTCCAGACATTTTGGACTGCAGCTTCCATAAATAGGGTTGCTATAATGCTCTGGGGAGTCTGTTCTTCAGTTCATAGACTTCCTCCCATACTCAGCCCTGTCTTAGAAAGTGAGCCAAGCTGAGAGGAAGTCTGTGAAAGCTGATGGAACCCCAGTTGCACAACTGGCAAGCTTCTTCTACATCACATGCAGCACAAAGGCTGAAAATCACATGTGTGGAAGACAGGTGCCACTTGTGCAACAAGCAGGGCTCAGTTGCAGGCTCAGTTCCTGGGGAGGGCCATGTGAGCACTCTGCACGCCCATCAGGAAATCAGACGCATGTCCCCAAGAAAGCAGGCCAAAGTATGGAGAGCTGAAAGATTCCCTTTCCCAAAGCAGATTCTGCACACGCAAGCCCCAGGCAGTATAGCCAATGATAATGAGAGCTGTAGGCCAAAACATCTGGAAGGTACCAGTTGCCTACCCCTGCTACATGCAGCTGCAATACCAAGTCATAAAAATACAGTGCTCAGGAACGCCAACTTCAGTGGAGTCTCACTGGTATAGCTAAGTGCATTTTGGAAACAACAGCTGGGAAAGAAGCATGCAGCTTTAAACATCAAAACAAAAGGAATGTTCAGGCATCGCACAAAGCCATACTTCAAGGAGAAACTGGAATGTTTTTACTTTTGTTTTTGCCAAACCACGACTTGTTATGCCACTTGAGTAGGAAAACTGTGAATGGTGTTAATGATGGGTTGTTTCAAACAAACCATCTTCATACCACGATGGTATGGCCTTAGTGTTTTGAAGCATAGTTTAGCATGTATATGACATGCTGGACTGTAATAAATGGAAACCAGAAGCAAAAGCTTTTGAACTCTTCCTTATAGTAGAGGAAAGGGGGAACATACAGTTCTGAGGCTTGTTGTGCAGTCTTTTCATGCCAAAGTAGAGTTTAGCCACTGTATATCCATTTCCCCAAGAAAAATCTGACAGAATAAAGCTCCAAAGAAGCCCATGAAAATGCTTAAACATTGGAGCACATGTGCAACATATGTCTTTATGTTCCTGTGTCACAGAGGAAAATAAAAAGTAAAAACTCACGTACTGCTATGCCTCAGTCATTCTGCAGAAACAATCCTTATTCCCAGAGATACAGAATTAACTAAATGACATACCATACCACATTATATTTTTAAAGTTCCAATTATCAGTTTTGCTGAACATGAGAAAATAAATGATTTTCAAGCTGCTGGCATCACTGAAGAGAGCTAATAGAAGGAATGGAAATACAGACTCTGCGTGTCATCTTACAGCCAAAAGATTTAATTGTCCAACAGACTGCACCAAACTAGGGTCCTTTTTAGGTGCACATGTTTAACAGCCGATCATATGTAGGGAGCAGATGAAGAGGGAAAAAGCCACTTGGACATGCCAGGAATAGCACATAGACACAAAAAGAGCACTTTGTAAAACATAAGTGCCCCTTGAGTTGCTGCCTAAGCCTATCTCCGCTATAACCATTAAATGCTATTTATTTAAGGTGGGGTGGGGGTTGTGTGTATGTGTATTTTCATGGAAAGTGCCGCCACTGCGCAGTGCAATATTGCAAGGAGCTTAACTGTTTGGGAGTTGAGTAATTACGTTCATTTCTTCATTGGAAACGTTGATGTCATGCAGCCGGCTGCTAGACTTGACTGTGTAACGGTTCTTTTCCTCTCACCCCCTTTCTTTCTTGCAAAGCTTTCCAAAAACATTAGAAACATTCTCACTGATTTCAGGTGACACCACCACCTTGTACTGAAAAATAAATATACATTTGAGCTTAAGTTTTGATTCTAAGACCTAGGATATGAGGAGCTGCTGCTGGGAAATCTGCATGTATCTGCTAAATTCATAATGACTGTACCACGAAGAGAAAGGGAAATGAGGGTCTATAAAATCAGGATCTAAAAATACTAAGCAGTTGGTGAAGCTGAGTGAAGAGATCCTCAAGTCTATAGTTTCTAGTGTATTCTGCACATGGAGATAAATGCTCTGTCCTTGAGATTTGCGAACTTTAAAAAGAAAAAAAAATCCCACATGCGGCAAATAGCCGCATCTAAGTTGGCTAGGCTAAAACCCTGCTGCTGCCATGTTAGTTTTCCACAAGAAAGGAGATTTTAAAACATGATCTTGTTTTGTTTTTTTGTTTTGTGTTTAGGACATTTCTTCGTCGTGGCCTCTGTGCATCACACATATGGGTTCTGCGCCTGCGCAGTGCCTTTGGCCGGAAGATTAACAGCTAACGGTTTTTGGCGGGAACTCCGCTCCCCCTCCCCCCTAGCATTATATAAGGAGCGGCGTGTCCACCATTTTCCAGTCTTTGCGACCGCCATTCATTGTGCCTAGTGCCGCTTCACTCTCAGATTGTTACTTACCTTCTTGCTCGTCCGAAAATCTCTCTTTTTCTCTTACCAAGTTTATATCCCTTGTTCTTATTGTTAGTATTTCACTTATATTTCTTTAACTTTGCACCATTTTTTCTTTATCGTTCCTATAAATATATATATATATTTATATTACTTTCCCGCTTTCCTATCTCCTTTTTTCTTCCTTCTACGATGGCGCAATGGGCGGCGTTCTGCAAGTGCGGAAAATGCGGTTCCAAAATGCCCGCCGCAGACCCGCATGATCTGTGCCTCCTTTGTTTGGGGGAAGGGCACAGAACCGATAAGTGTGGCCATTGTTTGGCTTTCTCTAAACAGGCAAAGAAGAACAGGGAGAACCGCCTCTGCAAACTCCTTTGGGATCAGGCTCTCCTCCAATCTGATCGGCTGGTGGCTAAGCCTTCCACTGTTGTGGCCCCACCCGAAGGCCGTCCAACTTCGGCTGACCTGCCGCAACGTCCAGCCTATTCCTCCATTGCTCCACCCTCACGCCCTTCTGAAGAAGGCGCTCATGCTATGGCCGATCAGTCTGTTTCCTTGCCGAAGAAGCAAAAGGAAAAGAGAAAGCTCAGCGACTCAGATAAATATCCTGTGCATAAGAAGGCCAAGAAAGATAAGACGGGCAAGCTGGTTAAGAAGCCAAAGAACCCCGAGCAGGCAAAACACCGTCACTCGGGCTCGGCCTCTTCCTCGATTCCAATACCTACTTCAGAACCAACCCCCTCAGTCCCAACCATCCAGGCGACTATGAGGGTTACCCCACCGGGCTCACCACGCCGGCCGGCAGCCAAACCCGTTATGGATTCGAGGAGGGGTTCTATCTCTGATGGGGAAATACGAGACTCCCCACCTAGGGCTCGATCACCAACCCCGATGCCTGCGATCCCGATGGATACTGAGATCGCCAT